ATAACAACGAGAGTCCAAACACAACGAGAGCTTGGGAAAAGGCTCCACATAGTGAAGTACACTATAGAAGCCAGGCACTTTGGAGCCCCGAAACTCGGCTTAAAACGCCTTTTCCCAAGCTCTCGTTGTGTTTTTCGGAATCTACGCATAAAACTATCCCAGAAAAAGTGGCTTTGAAGAAAAAACAAGTAAAAACACGCTACAAAAACATAATAAATTTTAGGAAGAAAACTTACCGGGATTCTAAAAACATGGCTTAAAACACATTTTCTCAAGCTCTCGTTGTGTTTTTCGGAATCTACGCATAAAATTACCCTAGAAAAGTGATTTTAGAAAAAAATAAGTTAAAAGGCGCTACAAAAACATAAGATTTTACGAAAGGTGAAGAAACTTACCGGGATTCTAAAATAAAATAAAATAAAATAAAATAAAATAAAAATAAAATAAAATAAAATAAAATAAACGTAAAATAAACGTAAAATAAAAAGTAAAATAAAAGTAAAATAACCTGAAAATAAAAGCCGGACGAATCAACACGAATGAATATGAAAAGAATGGCAAAAGGGGAATTTTGCGCGGGGTACGGTAGCGCATCCACTCTTAGAAAACGTGCCTCGCCGCTTTCGCGCCAGTTCCTTAAAATAGCTAAATGCTGTAGTTTTAAAAGAATTAATAAACCAAACATTGTACTAAAATTATGCGATATTTTCCTAGTTGTTGTTCTTTTTCGCTTACGATATGAAATCATTTTTTTCTTCCTTCTGAACATTCGAGTCCATCTTTGGAAAGTCTGCGCTCTCTCAAAGATTCAAAGATATTTTTCTTTCAGCTTTTTTCTTCTTTGTTTTCGATGGTTTTCTGCATTCGCTGACGAATTTTCACGTTTTTGCAATTAATTAAAACTTTGAGGGCAAGAAAAACTTCGATTTTAAAAACTGCTCACGAATTTCCTACAGTTTAAACTTCATTTAAATCATTTTAGCACAAAATGCAGCGTTCTCTTTCACATTGAATCTTTGCTTGTTTTTAACATTTTCATTTGCTTATATTTTCAACATTTTAAACATTTTCTTAACATCTTTTCTAAAATATATTTCAATTTCCGGAAAACTACCTTAATGCTGATAATCAGAGTACAGTAACTTATCATGTAAAATATCGTAATTTAGTAGCATTAGCATTAACATCACTAGAGCATCTTCCTCTCCACTAAAACGTTTTCGAAATCGCATCACCTACCGTAATCTTGCCTTGATTTTTTTTAAACCGTGTCCCTTTTTTACCGTAATATTGTCTCTATTTTTTAGCCGATCTATTCACTTTTTATATCTTCCGAGATTCTTTGTGAACCCTTACAAAATCGAACAAAAAGTGGATAGATTGAATAAAAGTATAGCCAAACTTCGATATCACGAATCGCTTGGGACCGAAAACCATAAAGAATCTAAAATTTTAGGCACGTTTTAGAATTTCAAAGTTTGTTATATCGAAGTTCGACTGTAAGTCGATCATTTCTTTTGTCAATTTCCGTTTCATTTTTGTTCCCTTCATATTTCCCCTAGTGTTTTTCTTGCCAATGCCCATAGCATAGTTTCTAATAGCAAAAATCGCTCAGCTACTTTCCAGACCATGACTCGTACAAAATCTTATTTGTTTCTTGCTATTACCGAGACATGGCTAGACGACTCTCTAGTTTCCTCTATTCTTGACCCTAGTCACTCTTACTATATTATTAGATGTGATAGAGCTTCTTCCACTAAATCGCATGATGGCGGTGTTGTGTTTTTGCTCCTTAAGTCTTTTACCCACCATGTAATTTACTGCAGTTCCATCTTTAACTGTGAAATTATAATTGTAGATGTTTATCTTGGCAGAAAGGTTCGTTTTCTTGTCGTTTATCGTCCCCCTAGCGTGAATTATGCTGATACTTCTCGTCTTTTTGATCATTTATCACTTTTCTTGCATGATTCCGAAGTCAACGTTTTACTAGGCGATTTAAATTTTCATGTGACCTATTCTAATGACAAATTTGTGTTTGATAAGTACCATCATCCCACCATTTTGCTACAAAATTTCCTTATTACATGCTCTCTATTTATTTTAAACACATTTGCTACCTTCTGCCGTTCATTTTCTATTTTAGATCTGGTCTTGTCTGATTCCCCTGATATCATCATGGAGTTGAAACGATTGGAGCCTCTTCCTGGATCTGACCATTATGGGATCACGTTCAAAATTGGAGGACTACAATTTTCGACTCCTCCGCGGAAAGGTTGCGTCCATTTTGACTTTAATCCCGACCAACCGGCTCTTTCCCTCTTAAACTCCCTTAGAGGAAGCTCTTTCTGCTCTAGGACAAATTCTACAGATGATGATTATAATTTTCTCTGTTCTAAAATTCTCCTTGCCATAGAAAACTTCTGCACTCACCCTGTAAAATTAGCCCCAAATCATATTACGAGAGCTAAAGCAAGACTTCTACATTTTTTTGAAAAATCTAATTATGCAAATCCTCTGGTTGACCCACTAGTAATCAAAGAACAGCGCAAGCTCGCGAAATTGTGTCAAAAGTTTGAGTCAAACATTGAAAGGAAAGCTGTTTATTTGAAAAACAGCAAGTCTTTCTTCTCCTATTTAAGCTCTAAAACAAAAGATCCAAAGATAGTCTCCAATTCTTTCATTGACCCCTTAGACAGTCCTAAACTTATTTCCAATCCCAGTACAATCGTCACTGAATTTGCCAAATTCTTTCATAGTGTATAGTTTTCAATTGCTTTACCGGAAAGGCCGGACACTGTTCGTTAAAAACGAACAGTGTCCGGCCTTTCCGGTAAAGCAAATTGACGTGCAGCCAGATTTCTTAATATGTGTAGCAGACATTTTCTAAATTACGGCCTAAAAAGTCGTCTAGGCCAGCTTTTGCTATTAAGAGACTTTCTAGAGTGCTTACCTACCCTCTTTTAGAACTTTTCAACAAAATTCTTCTCATTTCAGATGTCCCCTCTTTTTGGAAACAATCTTTAGTTATTCCCCTTCTCAAAAAATCTCCTAAAAACCTTTTCAGCAACTATCGTCCCATCTCTTTAACCTCCCCTGTATCCAAACTTTTTGAAATTATTATCAAAGATAAAATACAGCTCATCTTCACAAGCATGAACTTATCTCCGACTATCAATTTGGTTTCCTTAAAAATAAGTCCACCTTACCAGCTTATTTTAGCTTACCAAGATTTCTTTAAGGCCGTGGATCAAAAACAACGCAAGCACTATCAGCTTGAAGCTGTGTTTTTAGATTTTGCTAAAGCTTTCGTCTCTGTCCCTATTAAATTCTTAATTCACAAACTACATGCATATAAAATCTGCCCCTCGATGATTTCAGTTATTGAAAGTTTCCTTACTCAGCGAACTTTCAAAGTTCTTCTAAACGATTCTCTCTCCCCTTCCTTTAATTGCTCTAGCGGTGTACCCCAAGGAAGTATTCTGGGTCCTATACTTTACAATTTACATTAATGATTTAGCTGAATTAAATTTTTCATCTGGGGACTCATCTATCTGGCTTTATGCTGATGACGCTAAACTAACCTTTAAAATCCCCATCAAAGATGAAGCCGCTAAGCTTGCTTCTTGAAGAGACGCCATGACAGATCTTGAGCTGGTTGAAAAATGGTCCCATAATTGGAAATTAGCTTTAGCGTCTACGAAATCCCGTCATTTCTCCGCCGGAAATGCTATTTTTCCGCTGAAAATTAATTCTACACCATTAAACAGAATTGGCAAAGAGGATTATATCAGAGATCTTGGAGTCCATATTTCTCCACCTTTAAATTTCTCAAAACACATTGAAATTATTTGCCGTAAAGCTTCTTTTGTCTCTAGTCGCATCCTAAAAGCAATTTGTTATCCGAAAATTGACACTTACAGAAAGTGTTTCATCACTTACGTTAGACCCATTCTAGAGTATGCATCTATAGTTTGGTCTCCACATACACAAGTTGATATTGCTCGTCTAGAAAAATCCAGCAGAGATATACTAAGGTAGCTCTATGGAAAATAGATTTTTCCAAATTTGCATACTTTAGTTACACAGATAGACTCAAAATTTTTGATCTTAAATCTCTTAGGCACCGCCGCTTGGTCACGGATTTAATAGAATGTTTCAAAATTGTAAAGGGCAGGCAACCTATCCCTCTTTTTCGAGATTTATTCAAAGTTAATCCCACGGTTAGTGCAAGGAGAGGTTCTTTCGTTTTAGAAATTCCAGTCACCTCCAATAAGTTTGTTTATAACTCTTTTCCAATCAGAATTGCCAGAATTTGGAATCGACTCCCCAGAGTTTTGAGAGAGTCCAATAGTCTCGAAACCTTTAATTTATCTGTAGATGATCTTCGGAAAACTACTTTAATGCTGATCATCAGAGTACAGTAACTTATCATGTAAAATATCGTAATTTAGTAGCATTAGCATTAACATCACTAGAGCATCTTCCTCTCCACTAAAACCTTTTCGAAATAGCATCACCTACCGTAATCTTGCCTTGATTTTTTTTTAAACCGTGTCCCTTTTTTACCGTAATATTGACTCTATTTTTTAGCCGATCTATTCACTTTTTATATCTTCCGAGATTCTTTGTGAACCCTTACAAAATCGAACAAAAAGTGGATAGATTGAATAAAAGTATAGCCAAACTTCGATATCACGAATCGCTTGGGACCGAAAACCATAAAGAATCTAAAATGTGCCTCAAATTTTCTGCGTAGCTGCCTTGGACAGCCATTGATTGCATTTGGCTAGGGCAGCTACGCAGAAATTTTAGGCACGTTTTAGAATCCCAATGTTTGTTATATCGAAGTTCGACTGTTTCATTTTTGTTCCCTTCATATGACTCATTTTATCAGAGTTTTGCTCTTTTTCGTGGTTTCCAAAATTCTTTCTTTTTCTTCTTTTCAAGTTATTTACGATTACCTTTTAGCTTGAATTTTTGCATTTTTAAATCTGAGCAAAATGGGTTCCGGGGAGTCAAAAGAGGTAAAGAAATTTTGGAAAATAATGTTCATAAAAGTTAAAATTTAAAGGGAATACCTGTGGGATCCGTTGCATCAACCGAAAATCCTCAACTGACACTCAATTTTCAGCTTGATGTGGTAAATATTCTAAAAATAAGCTTATAAAGAATAAATTCAGCGAAGAAATGGGGATTACTGGCGAATCGAGGACTGTAACCTGGTCAGATTCATCTACGGAATTCCACTTTTTCTCCTCAAAATACAAAAAATTGTCACATTATGGTGAGTCAATTGGTTTTCTGGTAAATTTTAAATGCCGAAATTCTATTAGATACTAAAATAACTGCGTTTTTTGATATCAATTATTTCCGGCCTTGTTTCTGGGTTTTTTCAGTACGAGTTCCTTTCGAATTTTTTAACAAAAAAATTGTTGATAGCTTTTTTCACAAGGCCGTAAAAATTTTATTTATCTAGGCAATGGTTAATTTTAGGGCTCGACTTAAGGAGAATAGACAAATGACAAATTTGGACGATTTTTTTGTATGAGTTCTAGCTTGGTTATAGCGCAAGAGTTGCGGCGGAAAACACCAATTGTTCATTTAGTCATAAGGCTACTTCTGTTAGGTCCGCTCAAGTTTGGTTCAAACGATTCCGGGAAAGAGACGAGGATCTTGATGACAAGGAGGGTCGCGACCGCCAAAGACTTATTAATGATGATGATTAAGACAAGTTGTCAAAGCCCATCCGCGGACTTGAGCCAGAACTAGCAAAACACTTCAATAGAGGGACTTCGATCATAAGTGATCACCTGAAAGATATTGGAAAGGTTAAAAAACTGGAGAAGTGAATACCTCATGAGTTGGACGACCATCAGAAGTTTACACGCTTTCTTGCTGCTTCTTTGTTGAAGTCTCGGAACAATAGCTTTTTGGACCGGCTGATGACACGTGCGATGAAAAGTGGATGCTACATGACAATCGAAAACGAAATTCGGAGTGGATAGACAAAGGAGAAGCATCCCATTCGTTCTCGAAGCCCGATCTTCACCCAAAAAAGTGATGCTCTCTGTTTAGTGGTTTAAAAAGGGCGTCATTCATTATACTTTGCTCAAAACGCAGTTATTTTCCGGAGTACCTAATATTTGACACTAACTTTTTCGTTTAAAGCCGACTGTTATTGTACCTCTGCCATTTTGCTTTTAATTTTTCTATTTTTAGGTTCTTCACCAAAACTTGTGTAGTCTACACATCTCCATTTTCAAATCCGTCTGAAGAACAGAAAAAGCATGTAAGTCTTGTGGTACTTTATGCTTTTGAAAACACACACCACCTAACTTTGCTAGAAGCCAAGAATTGAGTGTTTTTAAAGCACAAAGTACACCTTAAATAATCGATTTTAGGTGGAGTTCAGAACCTTATGGAGTTCAGAACCATCCTCTAGAAATGAAGCGACACCAAAGCCAGTACACAAATCTTCACCACAAATCGATCACGGAACGCAAACCGAAGAGAATCTCGAAATAGTCAATCATTTTGATGATGAAACGGATCATTTCCCTGAAAAGTATGCGAAATTCTAAATTTAAAATCAATTTGTTTCAGCTCGACGATCGACAAAATCTTACTATGCAGTGTTTGTCTGAAACAATGTGAGTTTTCAAAATTTACAATGAAACCTCCTCTTTAGTCTCATCAGATCAATATCCAGTTACACTTATTCCATGCGGGCATTCAATGTGTGAATCGTGTTGGGACAAAGATGAATGGTAAGGTTTTTAGGGAATTATTTATGGGAACTTTTGAGCTCACAGCACCTTTAGCACTTTCAAAATTGGTTTATGAAAAGAAATTGTCAAGAAATCGTCATAGAAGTTGGAAAAAACTCGATTTTCTAGGTTTTTTACAGTTTTGCTAAATTTGATATCCCAAAATCGATTCATTGGAAGTCGATCACCAAATTTTGGAGTCAGATCCCAATTGTTCTTGTTTAACGATGAGAAAGTCCACTATTTAACAGTTTTCGAATCTACGAGACATTAAAAATGTTAGAATTACATTTCATTTTTGATTCTTTCAAGAAAGCTTAACGAGAGTTTGCGAAAAAAACCTATTTTATTCAACTTTCCACAGGCGTTTCTAGGCAAGCAACGCAGCGCAAAAGGGAATTTAACCAAAAGGGAAAAAGGGAATTGAATTTAAATGTAACCTAAAGTTGTAAAAATTGAGCATATTGATAAATGTGTTTCCTTTTTGAGCATTAAACTTGTAGAAAATGAGTTCGAAAGCTAGTAATCTCCATAAAAATTGAACACTCTGTACAGAAACTAGACTTAAAAAGTAATCTAGAAATCTATAATCTAAAAAAAACTACAGAATTAGATATGGGCACTACAAACTACAAAATCAGACTAAAAACGCTTGTGGAAACGGGTAGAATAGCTATTTTTAAAAGCTCTTTTTACCAAAAGATCGTGTCAACTTTGGGTTTTGTAATTCGTAGAGTTTACTGTAAATAACAGTAAACTATAGTTAAATTACCTAGAACCCAATTACAACCTTACATTACATCATTTTCTAAGTACATTATGCTTTCTAATTCTTTGATTACAGTACACTAGACAAATTTAGTACAGTATGTCTGTCTGACATTCGATTACAGTACAGTACCCTGCAGTACAACCTCGTTACAGTATCCCTCATTAGCTGACATTGTGTTAAACTAGATTACAATCTAGGTACAGTATCTCGGCTAATTATCCAAACAGTAAACTACGCTATATTACAGTTTACACAATTTTCAGCTTCAATTGTTGGGTTTGTGGACAAAGAGTCAAAAATGGAGTGTTTTCGAAGACTTTATTACGTAATTGTTGAGCAAAACGATAAAATAATGGACTGTCTTTAGATTTTGTTCAACTTTTCGAAGCACAGCCTGTTCAGTTAATTAATGAAGAAACAAATAATGAGGTATTTTAATTGAATTACCACATTTAGGCTTAAAGTTTACTTTTTTATTCTCAAATTTCAGGAAGAGATCGCTGAAAATGAAGTTCTATCAATGGAAAACGAGGAAATTGTTAAGCCTCTAAAGGAGAAAAAGGTATGAGAAGACTTATAGCAAAATCTAGTTGAAATTTGTTTAATTTCTACAGGTTTAGAAAGAAACTTTAGTTCGATAAGGCAAAACTTTGCATCACTGGGCTACCGAAAGATTTCACGGTGAACGATGTTGTGAATGGGCTTTTCAAGAGGTCTTATGGCATTGCACATTGTGACGGACGGTGATTGAATCTTTTAGAACTACTGTAATCAACCAGTTTTTACAGCCCAGTCGTTTCCCTTCGAGTCACTGATGACGACAAATTGTTTTGTATTGCTTACTTTAATAGTAAAACAAGTGCTAGAAAGGTTGTTGTTAAACTTGAGATTTATCCATTCGAATTTTAGGCTAGACTCAAATGCGGCTTTCATTTGAGAGAAAAATCACTTGCTGATGCAACTGTGGACTTTTTAGAGATCACTGAAGAGAATGAGGATTTGATTTGTGGTGAGTTTGCGTAATTGAACCGAGAAAAAGGTTCTTTTTAAGATCCTGTTAAAATTGACGAGGAATCGGCTTTAAACTGGGAGCCGATGATCAAGAATTCAACGGTGAAAGATGAAACGCCAAATGATGCAGTGGATGATTCAGTGTTGAATCAGATTGAATTGCATATAAAGCCAACAAAAGATGTAAGTTGGGGAAATTCTAAACAAAAATGACATGCAAAAAGTTCATTTTAAATCTCAATTCTTTTAAAAGTACTTTAAAAGTAAAAGTACTAATAGCAAGTCATCTAATAGAAAGCTAATATGTCAGGATCAGTCAAGCCAAGCCAAGCCTGGCTAATTGTTGGCCTAAAAATCGGCGCAAGTCAGATTCGAGTTTAAAAAATAGTTGATACAAAGTTTTCTCTAGCTGTATAAGCAAAAAAATTTGCAAAATTAGTGTAAGCTTGCAATTTTGTCAAGTTCAATTCCACTTTTCAGCTAAATAAGAGGAAACTTTTCATCAGCGGTTTACCAAGAGAATATCGAGAGTACCATTCTCGGAATGAGCTTTTCAGCGACGTCGAATTGGTGACACAAAATGACAAGTTGGTCTAATAAATAAAGTTTAAACTGAAAAAAGGTTACAATTAAAGTTTTTAGACTCCAAATCCTTTTGATGGACACAGGAGTGGCTCAGAATTGTGTGGTTGAGCTGAAAAATGAGATCGATGCAAAAAAGGTGGATTTTATCATAAAACTTCATTAGAATTTACAAAATCTAGGTAATCACGAGATGGAACGCGCAAATTATGGAAAATGGAAGGCGGCTGCTCGTCGAATATTATGGAAAAGATTATCGGGATTTTCGAAAAAATTATGGTAATCATTTAATACGAAATTTTCGTACGGCTAAAAGTTGCATTTACCCAAAATAGTGGAATTATCCAGGGTCTAGGTGATTTACCCAAAATAGTCACCTAGACCCTGGATAATTCCACTATTTTGGGTAAATGCAACAATCCAATTTTAAAAGTAAGAAATTCTAATTCCTCGCGAAAAACTGGTTTAGAAAACGTTTCTGGTTAGTTTATAAGTGCAACGCTATTTACGCTACAAGTGATTGAGAAGAGGGTCCGCTCAGGGGCGCTTTGGTCGCACATTTTTTTGGGGCTTCAGGCCTGTAACTTTTATGGATTTATGGCGCACCCTGTATTTTGGGCAAATGCAATTTTTAGCCGTGATACCAAGACCGCCTCAGCCGGTTGAGTTGCCCAAGGCACAGAATGAAATTCTTAAAGCGGAAACGGGATCGTCAGCAACTACAAGTTAGCTATTTATGGAGAGATTCATTTTAATAAACTTTAGGTTCTAAAAGCGAAACGTCTCAGTCAAGCGCTTCAACCTCAAAAGCATTAACAAATTGGACAAATCTTGCGATTTGGCCTAAAAATGTATGAGTTGGCTCTGTAAAATTATCATATTTTAGAGTTTCAGATGACAAAAAGTGCTCTATTCATTAGTGGTTTGCCAAAGGGTTCAGCTGAGAAGGAGATTTTGGAAACTTATCTGAATGGTGGAAAAGATATAATGAAAGAAGACGGAAGGTGGGGGTAAAGAAAGTTTTTTTTGACTTACCGTGGTTAGCGAACCTGAAAAGTGGTTAACGCAGAATAGAAAATAGATTACCGCAGATAAATCGATAATCTGCTTAAAAGCGAATTTTTTAGGTACAAGATGATCACAAAACATGCAGGAGATGGTGTCAATTGTATTGTGTATTTTCAAAAGGAAGGCGCTGCCAGACAGGTAATCTATTTTATGTTTTTTATTGATAATTGTTTTTGGGTTGATTTAATTAACAGAAAAACCTTTAGATAATCACGAAATGGAGCAACAAAGTGATATGCGGTAATTCTCGACTACTGGTTGAATATTTTGGAATCTCAAAGAGGAATTTCGGGATAAACTATGGTTCGTAAGCATTGACTGCCTGACTTTATACATTTCTGCAAACTGCATCTCCTTTCTCTTTTTGCCGTAATCTTGTCTCTATTTTTTATCAAATCTAGCGACTTTTCGATAACCTTTGTGATACTAACAGAATTAAACCAAAAGGCAGATATATTGGATCCTTGTTCAACAGCTTGTTTGCCGAAAGAAGTCCTCCGAGTTTCGTGTCGTTGCTTTCACATACTTTCAAAACACATACGCTTTTTCTCATCATTGTATCCTCGGTCTTCCGTGACACTGATAACAAGTGTGGCCGTATTGGAAGCAGTTGAAACATTGAACCGACCTTACAAAAGGATAGCTGCCAGTTGGTCCCATTCTTGACCTCGACGGTTGGATGGAGTGTTTGAGAGCTTCGATGGCTCGTAGGACCTCATTATTCTCGTGAATATCGGGACGGTTCATTGGCATCTGGTCCGCCCTGTTCGTACAAGGACGTTGTCTCTTCAAGTGTGAGGAATCCTTGTTCAACAGCTTGCTTGCCAGAAGAAGTCTTCCGAGTTTCATGTCGTGTCTTGTTCCCGTCAAAGTCTTGAATTTCTCCGCTGCCTCGGCCAATTCGAACTGCTTTAGTGGCAGCTGCCGAAGACGTCTTCGAATCATCATCGGCAGCTGCCAGTAAAGCATTCCGTTTCTTTAATCGCTTGATTGCCTCCTCTTCCCTGGGCTCGAGTAGTTAAATCACCTTCTCGTTCACTTCTCCTTGGGCCGCAAACGGTCGAGATTTGAGTTTCGCGGTCGACGCTTTGGCCACCAGCTTTGCTGCCAACTTCTGTTTCAAGTTTGGCTCCAATCTTGCAAGGCTTTGGCCAGCATCTCCGTCTTCTCCCATCTCTAAATTAACAACATAGAAGCGAAAGAAAAACGAGTATCGAGAACGAAAAAGACTTTTCAGGCGCTTCACTTGCCTACACTAACATGGACTAGAATCAAAAACTTACGCGCAGCTTACAAAAAGAAAAAAAAACACTTTAAACACATTTACGCTCAACTTAAAATTGACTCCAACTCCAAAATTGCAGAATGAAATTTTTAACAAGAAGTTCATTTAACTACGAAATTTGGGTCCCATTTTAGTGAGTGTCGGACTACGGTAGAAAGGACAAGCTTATACGAAAAATATTATTTTAGCTGTGAGACTAGGAGCGCCAATCCAGCCGGTTGAGTTGCCCAAGGCACAGAATGGAATTCTTAAAACTGAAACGGGATCCTCAGCAACTACAAGTTAGTTATTTATGGAGAGGTTCATTTTAATAAACTTTAGGTTCTAAAAGCGAAACGTCTCGATCAAGCGCTTCAACCTCAAAAGCATCAACAAATTGGACAAATCTTGCGATTTGTCCTAAAAATGTATGAGTTGGCTTTGTAAAATTATCATATTTTAGAGTTTCAGATGACAAAAAGTGCTCTATTCATTAGTGGTTTGCCAAAGGGTTCAGCTGAGAAGGAGATTTTGGAAACTTATCTGAATGGTGGAAAAGATATAATGAAAGAGGGCGAAAGGTGGGGGTAAAGAAAGTTTTTTTTAACTTACCGTGGTTAGCGAACCTGAAAAGTGGTTAACGCAGAATCGAAAATAGATTACCGCAGATAAATTGATAATCTGCTTAAAGCCGAATTTTTTAGGTACAAGATGATCACAAAACCTGCAGAAGATGGTGTCAATTGTATTGTGTATTTTCAAAAGGAATGCGCTGCCAGACAGGTAATCTATTTTATGTTTTTTATTGATAATTGTTTTTGGGTTGATATAATTAACAGAAAAACCTTTAGATAATCACGAAATGGAGCAACAAAGTGATATGCGAAAATTCTCGACTACTTGTTGAATATTTTGGGATCTCAAAGAGGGATTTCGGGATAAACTATGGTTCGTAAGCATTGACTGGCTGACTTTATAAATTTCTATAACTGATTGTAACTGGTATCTAGATTATTTTCGAATTGTAAACACAAATTTTTGATTAAACTTACAGGTCCAATGATTTACGAAAATTCAAAGAAAGCTGTTGTCAATAATTCTGATCCTGAAGAGGTATATTTGCAATTTGAAAATAAATTTTTTTCCCTTTAGAATTGCCGAATACGAATCACGCGGATTCCATTCGGTTTCACCGAGAATTTCATCATCCAGACGCTTGATCAGAAAACAATCGATGGAGTCTATGTATATATCAGAATGGTGAACGGAAAGAATTTGTAAGTTGTTCAAAGGAAACAATTTATCAGCTATGTTATAGGCTTGAATTTACACCAGCTACAGGGAAATCGGCTCTAAACGGTCAATGCATTGTCACGCTGAATACAAGCAAAGCCGCTCAAACTGTAGGTTTACGGGAAAATTCCAAGCCGAACCTAATTCAACCTTCGTTTTCTCGACCGGTTCTTGACTGATTGCTCTGAGAGGTTGTCTACAAGCTGATTGATTGTTATCTGTAGACAAAAGTTCAGAGAAAGCGGCCAAGCAACGGCCGAGAAAACGAAGGTGGAATTAGGTCGGTGAATTCTTAAAGTTTAGATAATCAAAAAGTACAATGGATCCATTTTCCCCGGTCGATTTCATCGTATGGGTGTCAAATTTTGGCGAAAAGCTCAAGGAAAAAGTGAAAAAAGCTGATCATTTATCTTATTCAATTTGTTTTGTGCTTATCAATCAATACGAGTAAACTCTTTCATTCAATTTTCAACATAAATTTCTATTTCAAATGCTTTGCCACACGAATCGTATAGGGTATTCGAGAATTACCCGGACTCAATATTTTAAGTGTAACTCAAGACTCAAACGTGCATCAATCGAGAGATCGAGAGAGGAGCGGTGGGTGATTGTTGGACAGTTGATACGCTTCGCTTCTGCTTCACAAGTCACATCTGCATTGGCCATTGGCAATCTAACTTTGAGCTCAAATATCTTGGTGTTGGGCTGTTCAATTTAAATGTTCTTGGTATCATTAGATGCACCAAGTTGTTCTCTATCGATATTTAAATTGAAATAGTTTACCAAAGAAGAATTCACCTTTAAAGAGGTGATAGACACAATTTTCGATGGAGGAAATGATTTGGTGAAGAGATGAGGAAAGTGAGTGAGGAAAATGGGTAGTTTAGATAAGTTTAAGGATTAGATAATGCTAAACAATAGTGCCAAAATAGATAATGCTAAAAATATTTACAGAAATACTTATTTATAAGCCTAAAATTTTCCCCCAAAAGTTCTTCGCCCCATTCAATTAGGCGTTCTCTGCGCACAATCGCTCGCTTTCTGGCGCACGGCCATAATAGATACCCCGTCCCCACCGGTTCGTTGTTGAAATCATACTTCACCGGATCATTTCTATAGTTGATATTTCGCTTTACCCACGTTTATGCAACACCCTGCACCTGTGATGATTGGGACATGGGCAAACGGAGAGCGGGAAGAATGGTTGGTTGTTCTTTTGGACACCACCGTTGATGACCGCATCCCAGATCCGAAAGGTGAATGGGATATCCGACTACCTCTCTGAGCGGATCAAAAAATAACAAACAATCAAAGAGACTCGAGTTTTAAGGTTTAAAACGAGCTAGCTGCCCAGTTACTACAACGTTTCGCAATCCAGATCGATTTTCTAGTTTGATTTTATAATATTTCTAATACTTTTACAAGTATTAGAGTCAAAATTTGAATATAACTTCTTTTAGTTTAAAAATTTGCTAAAATACGGTACATTACCGTGATCTTTTCATAAAATATGGAAAGATTAGGCTATAGAATCGTAATATAAGTTTGCTCAATATCTTTTTCGTTAGCTCAAGCCATTAATAAAGCTTAGAAACTTCAAGAATTTCATAAAATATGGAAAGGTTAGGCTATAGAATCGTGATTTAAGTTTTTTCGTGTAAAAATTTGCGAAAATACGAACAAGTGCTGGAAAGTTTGTTTTTAAACTTGAGATTTATCCATTCGAATTCTAGGCTAAACTCAAATGCGGCTTTCATTTGAGAGAGAAATGACTTTTCAGCACTGGTTAGTATTGCCGGCCTTTGCTCGAGTATGCCACCATCGTATGGCCAAGATGACCATCATCCAATAAGAAACTTATCACCCTGGTTGGAAATGTCCAATGGCGTTTCACTAGAAAAGCATTCACTCGTTGTTTCCCTTCTTCTCTTATTCCAAATTATGAAACTAGACTTATGTAAATTTTACTGTACTATTTTTAGTTTTCTTTCCTTTTTTGTGAAAGTATTGTAGCAATATGTTATTTGCGTCTATGATTATCTGATTCACTTCTATTCGCCCCCTGAATAAAGCATATATACTGAAGCTGAAGCTAATTTAGCTTAATCTAAACTATTAGGTTGGCGGGAAAATAATGCGAATTTTTAACTTGTGCTCTTGGGAAAGTAATGACCGAGAAACAGAGAAAACCGCGATAGTAACAGAGAAGCAGAGTGTGTTTGCTTACACAATCATAATATTATTCGAAAACATTTGTTCATTTGTTATCAAAAAATGACGAAACAAAAATTCCTTATTCGAGTTGCTTTACTCTATGACTTTAAGCTTGGAAAATCTGCCCGTGAATCGCATAATTCTACTTCAAAGGCCTATGGCAAAGGTAGTATTAGCGAAAGCCAATGTTATCGATGGTTTGAGCGATTTCGAAATGGAAACGAGAGCCTAGAAGATGAGCATCACGAAGGACGTCCTCGAAAGCTGGATGAGTCTCAACTTTTGCAAATTATCGAAGAAGATCCCACTTGCATCACTCGGGAGTTGTCGGAAATGTTCAATGTTCATCATAGCACCATTGAAGAGCATTCACATTTGATTGGAAAGTGAAACAGATGCGGAAAATGGGTCCCACATGAACCGACCTTCAAGCACCAAATTTCCCGTATGAACACTTGTTCAATTTTGATTCAAAAATCAAAAGCACATGATTTTTGGAAATCGATTGTTACTTCTGATGAAACGTGGATATTATATGATAATGTTAAGCGCAAGCACCAATGGCCATCACCAAAGCAAGTCCCGGTTGTCATGTCAAAACTTGGTCTGCATGGAAAGAAGTTGATGTTGTGCGTATGGTGGAACTATCGTGGATTGGTTTATTTTGAACTGCTCAAACCGGGTAAAACTGTCACAGCTGAACTTTACAGTGAGCAGTTAGAGCGTGTGAATCAAGCTTTACCGAAATCTCGACATGACACTTCAAAAATTCGATTTTTGCGTGATAATGCAAAACCGCACACGGCAAAGATGACCCTCCAACAAATTGAAGAGAAGAGATGGAAACTTCTACCTCACGCCCCATACAGCCCTGACTTGGCCCCATCAGACTATCACTTATTCAGGTCTCTAAAGCACTTCATCCCCGATCAGCTGTTCAAGGATTTCCGGGAAGTCGAAAATGCGGTCACCAACTATTTTTCGTCAAAAAGTCCCCAGTTCTTTGAAGATGAAATTATTGATTATATCTAAACTAATTTAGCTTCATCTAAAGCTAATTTAGCTTCATCTAAAGCTAATTTAGCTTAATCTAAAGCGAATTTAGCCAAATCTAACCTAATTCAGATAACAATTAGCGATTAAATAACAATTTCTTAACCATAAAACTTTATTACAACAAAGCAATAAATAATCAAAGAAATATGTACAGGTTTTAAAAAGAATTGCACGTGTTAAACCGTTTGAGCGTCATTCTCGATCATGATCATCTGAAAGGAATTGTCATCAAAGTGTTTGCTTGTTCAAACAGAATATTTATGTCTATCGAAATTCGTGATAACTTTTGTTGAATTTAGGGATTTGTCTACTTTGTATATACAGTCGAACCTCTCTATAACGTAACTCACGGGACGGCTATAGCTTACGTTATATAGAGGTTTACGTTATATAGAGTACCGTTTTATATAGCTTAACGTCAGCCGGGACCGGTCACGCCTTACGTTATAGAGAGGTTTACGTTATATCGAGGTTCGTTATAGAGAGGCTCGACTGTATGTTGTATCCGATTTGGATTGAACTCACCGCGGATATCCGATTTGGATTGAAATCCCATCCGGATATCTGATTTGGATTGAGACATTATTTCACAGTAGGGTGTCATGTTTTTAAAAGGTTTTTAATCATTTTCTAGAAATTTTATAGAGGTTTAACTCTGGCAACCTAGAATAGTCCGTTAGCAAAAATACAGAAGCATGTCAAAACGCGTAAATAAACTACTTTTTTGGGCAAAGGTGGTGCCGTTCTAGGTTGCCAGAGTTAAACCTCTATAAAATTTCTAGAAAATGATTAAAAACATTAAAAACCCTACTGTGAAATAATGTCTCAATCCAAATCAGATCTCCGGATGGGATTTCAATCCAAATCGGATAAAAATCCAAATCGGATACAAAATATACACCAAAAATGGGCTCTCTTCTTCACGAATTTCTTCTTAAAATAGACTTCCAAATGATAGAAAAGAATCTTCATGAATTAGTGGATTCGTTTTTAATTCCGTTTGAGCGTCATTCTCGATCATGATCATCTGAAAGGTTGAATTCATTGATTTCTTTTTTGTATTTCATTCATTTCATTGATTCATTTCCTTATTAAAACCTCAATAAATTGTTCCAAAAGATCCACATGTACTTATTAAACTATTAAACTTATCTTATTAAACTTATTTTGTTCAGAGGCGAGCACGGCGACGTGAATGGATGGATCGGGCCGAGAAGGAACGCAAGCAGGGGTGTGAAGAAGAGGTGCGACTATTTTAATTCCAGGATTGGGATTGAGACCTTGTCTTTTCTTTTCTTTTCTTTAGCAAATCCAACAATGGTATCTCGAAGAGGTCTACAAGGAGATAGCGCGCAAAAATCAACAGAAACTCCGTGAGAAACAGATCAAACAACTTGAGTGAGTGATTGGATTATGAATCTAATTGTTTTGTTATTACAGTGCCATCAAGAACCCATTGCTTGCACTCCATAACCTCAAGGCTCTCAATCTGGTATGGATTTGCTTATATAGTTAGTTTAATTCATCCTTTGCTTTTTAGAGCTTTTTTGCTTGGTAAACGCGAGCCTGAGAATAACACAAGTACAAAGGACGAGAATATGACGAATGTTCTCTTGTTCTGGTATATGTTCTCTTTCACTGCTCTGAAATTAAAAAAATAAGCAAAAGGATAACATTCTGAATTTTTTAGAGGCCCTGGTTACATAAATTCGACAAAAAGTTGTTTAAATGAAAAGGGTTGCAGTTCAGGAACCAAAATTATTCATCAACAAACAAGCAAACAAACAAACAAAGGTAAGCAAACCAAACAAAAATTATACTGAAAAAACTTAAAAACTTACGAATGTAGATAGAATCGAATGAAACTGCAAGAAGAAAAAGAATGAAAAGGAAGGAAAAATTCGAAAAGCTCGACGCCCCAATAAATGCAAATTGAAAGATTAGGAATTTTTATTGTTTCGCGTAAAGTACCCGAAATTTCAATCAAAACTTCCAATGTGGCCGTCTCTACGATACTCTTGAAGTAATTGAGGTTCATGACGAAAAGAAGTTCAACTTTGATTTTTTTTTCACTATTTTTTTTCCAAATTACCTTTTTTTCCTTGATAACTTTCTCGCTACATAATTAGTATTTTTGGTCATGAAAATTAGTCACTGTTTGTTCAAAAACGATCAAATTGATTCTAAAACTTACACCCGAGTTGTATCTGTCAATCCACCTCAAAACAAAAAAATTTGTGGTTAATTGTCGCTAGAGGGTGTTTGAGAAGGTTGGATCTCGGGATGGAGTCGAGTTTTATATCCTTGGCCCTTCTTCCTTTTTGACCTTTTTTGGATGAGAAATTCTCCAAGGTGCATCCCCAAAAGCTGTTCGTCAAAGCTTGATCGCGGCGTGCGGCCAAATTGTATAGGTAACCCTCCAGCTCCGGAGCAACGTACGCTTTGGGTAAGACCTTCGTTTTATTGACCCCCTCTTGTGCCTTGTGGCAAAAAGGACGCGATTGAGTACGCGCACAGAGAACATAGTTTTAAACAGGGTATAAAACCATACTACTCATTTTTTGTGTTTTAATATTCTTTTTATCATTGTCTATTAATTTTTTGTTAAAAAAGCCAGCTTCTAGGTCATGACAAAGACGTGCGCTAGTCGGGAATCTCGCAATCGAGCACTATGACAGTGTGGAGATTTGCCACTGCAAGAGTTGGCTGTTTTTGGAAATGTTAAAACAGTTAATATTTCTCCATACACCTTTTTACTTTGAAATTCTTTGCTCGATTTATGTTTTATATTTGCAACTTTTTGACTCTAGCTACGACTTTTTCTAACCCTTTCTAACAATTATGAACAATTTAGCTTTTGGCTATAAACACTCACAGCTAATGGACAAAAACGTCGACAAGGGGTACCAGTTGATCTGTGGTGATTCCATGAGTTTGAAAATTTGAACTTTGCATGCTTCATTGAGCAGTGGATAGTTTAAAATGATGAAGTTCAACTTTGAATTGTTTAGTGAAAAAATCCTATCAAACTGATGCAAAATCTTTCACTTTTTTTATGCAAACAAGTAAAATCCATTAAAATATTTATTCAGAAGCCGACAAAGTTTAAATTTCCGCATTTCGTTTAGTTTGGTTGAATCTAGTCATTGTTGCTCGCCTCTGGCATCTCTTGAGTTCTAAAAGGAACAGTAATGTCATGAGCTTTAAAAATGACACGACGTTTGAAACTTTCATGACAACGTTCTAAGCAATACACCAAAATTATTGTATAATCTCTGACTCTAGTTTAAGATGAAAAACTCACACTTCAACCGTCATCGTCGGCGCGGTGCGGATCGATGAAAGCACAGATTGCATAGAGGCCGTCTTCTTTACGCGAGCTAAAGATAAAACATTAACAAAATCGATATTATTAGTGGCTATTTCTTCAAAAACTCCCAAATTAGTTCTAAAACTTACACCCGAGTTGTATCTGTCTATCCATAGATAAAAAAAACTAAAATTTGGTGTCAAGTGTTGCCAGAGGGGGTTTGGTTGGGTGTGCCTTTTTCCGGAGACATTTTTCCGGACACACTTCCGAGGTTAACGCCCGAGTTCCCTTCCCGAGGAAGTGAGGTAACCCTCTAGCTCCGGACCAACGTACCTTTGGGAAAGACCTTTCTTTTATTGACCCCCTCTAGTGCCCTGTGGCAAAAAGGACGCGATTGTGTCCGCGCACAGAGAATGCCTTAATTTTGGAAAGAATGTGGATCCATGTGGATCTTTTCCGTACATTCAACGCCGTAATATCAAGTATCAAAATAAAACCACGTAATTGCGGGTCTTTCCGGATTTTTCCCCCCCGTAAATTAGCATTTTGATCAAATCAAATCAATTTCAAATGCAAACTAGGAAAATTTGCAAGAGTCAAGTGCACAGTGTCAAAAGAATGGAATCTCTTGAGTTCTAAGAGAAACAATAATGAGAAACAAATGACACAACGTTTGACCCTTTAATGAAGGGTACGTTGGTCCGGAGACTATGAAGTTGGTTAACAGCAGCTAACAAAAACTTTGTTTCGCTTCCTCTAGCAACATTTGACGAGTAATTTTTGTCTTTTTTTATCTGGATAGACAGATACATCTCGGGTGTAAGTTTTAGAATTAATTTGAAGTGAGTTTTTGGACAAACAGTGACTAATTTTTATGGTTCCTGTTCCTGAACTGCAACCCTTTTCATTTAAAGAACTTCTGCACAACTTTAATCGAATTTATGCAACTCAGGGCCTTCAACAAATTCAGAATGTTGTTCTTTTGCTAAGATTTTTGATTTCAGAGCAGAGAAAGAGGACATATGCCAGAGTTCGTCAAACTTCAAGCGGGGAAACAGGCGGACGGCAGTGTAGATATGTGAGTTTTTCTTGGTTTTTTTTTTCCATTGAAGGATCAGATTTTTAGGGCTTGATCATCATGATGTGATCATCGAACAAGAGATGTTTAATCTAAAGCGAATTTAGCCAAATCTAATAACAATTTCTTATCCATAAAACTTTATTACAAAAAACAAATAAATAATCAAAGAAATATATACAGGTTTTAAAAAGAATTGCACTTGTTAAACCGTTTAAGCGTCATTCTCGATCATGATCATCTGAAAGGCTGAATTGATTGATTTCTTTTTTTGTATTTCATTCATTTCATTGATTAATTCCATTGTTAAAACCCCAATAAGCTGCTCTCAAAAAACTTGAATACTCATTTCTCTCACATTTCTCATCGTTTCCTCCATTTGTGTTTCCATATCAGCTGTTGCTTGCGCGAATCTCTTCAACGATTCCACCAAATGTTCCACTTTTACATCAACATCCGAAGCTTTCAGTGTTCCTTGCATCAAATCATCGATTTTCCTCCGGATTCTCTGAAATTCACTTATTTATTAGCTCAGAAACCATTTAGATATGTTTTTGCAAAGTTCAGTCTTTCTTTCTCACCTCTTCAGCCGATTCTGCACTCGTTTTCGGCACTCTTTCTCCGATTCTCTCTTTCCATTTGATCATTTCCAAGAATTGACGCATCTTTTCACATATGTAGAGTTTCTGATAAGTTGATTAAAGCAAGAAGACAGTAAAGTAGTAGCCAGAAAAGCCAGCTACTATACGAAAAAAAAGGAAGCGTCTCAAACTATCGTATCTCAAAAGATGCCCAACAGTATCTTTTGAAATATTTCCGGTGGCTCAAGGTGATAGATATGGTGCAAAAAGGTCGGGAAATTTTAATGTTTTTTTATGATTTTCATCATATTATGACTCCTAATAGAAGAAATTTCTGAGCCACCATGGTCACCACCATCATATGGGCCACCACCACCACCATGAGACTTTTCCCATAGAATTAAAACTTTCTACTGGCATCGTGGTGCATAATAAACACTATTAGGATAACTACAAATTTAAACCATAAACTTTATTGATCAGCATTTCCTTGAAAAAAGGAGACACTTCTTTAAAGAAAGGCGAGTTGAAAGTCCCTTATGTATGACAGATTATTATATAATGTAGATGGATAACCTACATAGCCCTCACCCTACACCACAAAGTAATCCTCGCGCCAGTAACCCTAACCTTCAACTCCAGCAGATTCGTCATATCCATTTGGCATTTCCTGTGCGAGTGTTGAATGCAATCAGCGCAAATCACTTCCTGATTCACCTAAATATTGCTTTACAACTAAAATCTTGCTTCAAACTTTTCTTACAATTTCCTCGATCTCATCTAATGGCACCTCGGTGATCGGTTTTTTGTGTTTTGCCTAGAAAGTCTTGATTTAGATATTTCTCAAGGTATAAACCTCAAAATGTTCTGTGCAGATCCATAGTTTACTTAAAAGTGGCGGCTGACCGTCGGGCTCACACGATGGGCACTCCTTGCGTTGACCGGAGAGTTTTTGCTGAAAAATTTGAATCATTTTTGGATCAACTGACGCCTTAATTACGGTAGTTTTCTGCTAAGAAGTACTGTAGCTATGGTTAGATTATGGTTGTTTAAAAAGATGCCTTTTACGAGTGGATTAGTCGAGTACTATTGATCCGTTGTAGTACCTAGAGATACAGTAATCTCCGGCTATAGTTTCTCTGTATAAACCTGGGCTTTTCTCACCTCCAACAGCTCCACCAATCCCTCAAGCGCCTTCTCGTTCATTTTCCCAGCCGGCTTTTGGTGTTTCTTCAACTCCTCATTGAGCCGAAAGATCTCCCGATCTTTCTCTTCTCTAAATATTACTGTACTTTCTTTAATCTTTTCCTCACACAGCCATCGTCATGAATTTCATTCCTTGCTCCATCGACGCCATTTTTTCCATTTTCTGTTTTAACTCTTTTTCTTTTTTGTCGACTTTTTCTTCCATTTCTTTCAGTTTTTTTATA